AGCTTTTTCTTCTTTCATCTCAACATTTGTGCTTGTGCCTTTCAAACTTTTGCTAGCCCATAAAAGTTCCAGTGTTGAGAAAATATTTGCAAATGACGATGCACCCGCTAATATTTTATAATTTAATGTTGGTATATTGTCCCATATGATATATTCTGAAATACAATAAATGTTTCAATAAATTCCACCTTTTCCGATTTCGAGTTTCCTCCATGCACCCCTCTCTCTCTCTCCAACATATAAGATTGTCGTTCCTAGGCCGTCTTTTAAGTTGTTTAGGGAACAGGTTTATTTATTTAAATTCTTTGTCTTCATCAGGTATGAACTAGCTTACATGGAGGCTAAAGAAAGAGTGAAGAAAGGTGACAGAGTGTGGCAANATTTTTACCAAACAAGGACTTAATATGATAATAGCCAATGGATAAAGTTGTTTGTACACTAGGTGTATGTACACGTCTCAAGTGAATAGTGTGCGCGAATATTTTATTGTGCGCGGGACCTCCCTTCATGTGAGGGGGGTGTAAAGGATTGTGTGAATGATTATGCACATGTAGCATGATTGATAACCAATTGCCATGCAAACTCAAAATTTTGATCATATACATACATAAGAAATCTAAAAGGGTTTAATTTCGTCCCTAACTTTTATTGAAATTTTTTGTTAGTTGTTAAATTTATCGAACATATCCAAACCCTGTTCGTTTATCTATCTGAATCAACCCTAAATTAAATAAATTATTACAAGTTTATTAGATGAATACTATTGAAACAAAAATACGTTACACTTGGAAGTACGGCTGAATAAGATAATTAGAAACGAGAAATGTAATCTAAGAAATGAACGTGACAAGTATTGAGTAAAGTAAGAGAACGACGACGAACAAGTATTGTGTGCAGAATCTGACTACACAACATAGTCAAAATCGTGCCAATTTGTGGATAATGGAATCATGTACAATACTCAGCCCCCCAACTGCCAATTGCTCACCAGTTTTAGCAGAGTCTTGTTTAATATAAAGCATTAATAACACAGCAAGTTGAACAATCAATATCATTATTATATTGCCTCATGGACATTCTATAATTCCTTAAAACTCCATCACCAATCAATTTGGTGTACACTTCAACCCCACTTCCTCACCCCCACATCCACCATATATATGAAATGAAACAGTAATGTGGACTAGGGAATGACATGAGGGCAAAACTAATACGATGAGTTACAACCCCAATTTAGGTGGAGTTAATGTTGCATTTAACGATAGATAAAATTAAAAAAATATTTTCCAAATTTGATTTAGTCCATATTTGGTATTAATTAAAATTAGATTTTAAGTTAAGTCAATGTCAAATACTAACCACATATTTCATGAATCCCACAATTCTTCAACCACATATTTTATAAATTTTTATCAAAATCTACTAAAAATCTAATTTTAATCCCAAAAAACAGAAGTTTAGCATGTCATCTAATGTCACCTAAACTAGGTTGGGGGCTACATAGCATTAGTTTAAGTCATACTTGGTAGATGGTACTCGAGAATTAATACAATTTTTTACACTTAGCCCACAACCCAAGCTCTCAATATATACCAATATCAAATGAAGCAACCATGTGAACTAAGGAATTGGAGTATGGGCAAAAATAGTACGACAATTTTTTCCTACAAGCTTCTCAAGGAGCAAATTCATTCAACTCTCATG